AGTTGTGGAGTTCCTTATTGTAACTAGAGTATACGTTACCCCCAAATCCTATTATTCTAATCACTACGTTTCTACTTGGGCTTCAGATAGGGCTTGAAGCTTTCGGGTTTAGGGTCTAAGTCTAAGGTTTAGGGTGTGTAGTTTGGAGCTACTGCCTCCTTTGTAGCGACACGAGATTGGGCAGAATCACACCCTACCTTGAACCGTATGACCCGATCCGTAAAACCTTAAACCCCAGATCTTCGCAACCTGTCTCCAAGTTCGCTAAACTACTGCACGGAACTGAACGGACAGGAGCCATGTGTTGTGTTCCGTAGCGTTGGGGCTTTTACGGTCGGTTGAAAACTATAATACCGCAATCCGATTGTGCTACCGCTGCTATTGTTCTGGAGCGTACGACGAAGCCAAGCATGGCCCACGTCGAAGCAACACCCATGGGCCTCGTTTCCAAAAATGGACGACTGTAAAGTTTAGGGATTAGGGCCGGGGTTCAGGGTTTAGTGTTCTCGACTTGGGATAGTGGAGGTATATAAGACCTACCACAGATGATGCAACCGGTCAATGCAGCCAACGCAGTGCTACGTTGAACGAACTAAGTCTGAAAACACACACACACACATTTACTTACGCTTGCACTGATGAAGGTAAGCTGGACACCAGTGATGCTAACCATGGCAAGCAATGAATAGAAAGCACTAATGCCAAGATCTTGAAGCGACAGTCGCCCGCAACAGCAAAATCGCTGAGAAAAGCCATGATATTCAATTTAAGCTAGTAATCTCAACAACAGCAGCAGCAGCAACAACAACAACAACCAGTCACCCAACCATGCAATCAGCCAGTCTGGCCACCGCCCAGCCACTCGACCCACTAACCGAGCAACCACCCAGCCAGACCCTTAATTCTGCTGGTCAGAACCTCGATGTGCCTAGTAACATGGCAATACAGTAATGTTAGCAAAAAGATAGCAATATAGCAATATCGTATTGCTGTATTGCAATCTAACAAGATGATAAGAAAAAGCGATCCTAAACCCTAAACCCAGCAGCTACGAAGCTTACACGCTGGCCTGATCCTTTTTCCTGCAAGGCATGCGGCGGGTTTGGCAACCCTCCAAAAGGCTTTCAAGAGAATGTAGCAAAGTGAGGGGCGCAAGGTTTTGTAAGCAGGGTACTTAGAGGTTCATGGGTAGCTATAAGTAGGGTTCTAAGTAGGGTAACTATCATTATAGCCCATATTTCGGGACTTATAACCCCACTTATCACTACCCTAAACCCCGCAATCCAAAAAAACCCTGAACCCTATAGAAACCTTAGAGGAGCCCTATAACCCCACTTATAACTACCCCTGAACCTCCAGTCAAGGGTGCTCAGGCTGTACCGTCGGACTTTGGATCAAGCCCTGGATCTCTCTCTAGGTTACCCAGTAACCTAAGAATAAAAAGGCCTCTCTTTTTGGTATTGGGTAACTTTATAAGGAACCTAGGACTAGAAAAAGGGAATAAGGGTACTACTGGGCATCCTAGATAACTATCTACAAACCTCCAAGTAAGCCCTAACCCCTACACCCTTACAGAACCCCTGTATATAGATCCCTTTAAAGGGACCCTTATGACTATCCAGCCCTGGATCTCTCTGAAGGCCTTTTGCAGTGTAGCATGGCTGAGTCTTCTTCAAAGCACGCCGAGCGCCTGAAATCAAATACAACGTTCTCTGCGTAAAGCTGAAAGGTTCAGACACGGCTGTTGGGGTTTGCATATAGAATATAGTCTCCATTGTAATTCCTTTTTGTGCTTTTCACCGAATATCTAACAAGGATCCTATAAGGTAACCCCAAAAAGGAGCAACAACGGAGACTATAGGTAGGGTTCGTCTTCGGCGGGGGGTCTAGGGTTTCAGGGTTGAGGGTGTTGGTGCTCTAGAGTTGACTGTCGCAGCGTTTAGGGTTTAGGGTTTGGATAGAGGTTGAGGGGTTTAGGGTTTATAGAAATTGTTAAGGGTTTGGGTCCCAAAAACGTTTGGCCGAAACGTTTGGCCGAAAGTTTGGCCGAAACGTTTGGCCGAAACGTTTGGCCGAAAGTTTGGCAGAGTTTTTTTTTGCGAACCATGTTTTCAAATTTCTTGGGGGGCTGCGAAACGTTTTGAACGAAACTTGGGAGCGAGACGTTTTGACCGTCCCGGGGCTGGGGCTCAGGCTGGGGCTGCAGAACTTGTCCCTATATCCTAGTTCTCAAGAACGTGCATGTTGCAGCTGCATGCAGGATCATAGTTGGGTCCCAAAAAACGTTTTGAACGAAACGTTTTGAGCGAAACGTTTTGACCGAAAGTTTTCTTTTCGCAGCTGCATGCAGGATCATATTTGGGTTCCGAAAACGTTTTGAACGAAATGTTTTGAACGAAAGTTTTTTTTTGCGAACCATGTTTTCAAATTTCTGGGGGGGCTGCGAAACGTTTTGAACGAAACTTTGGAGCGAGACGTTTTGGCCGTCCTGGGGCGGGGGCTGGGGCTGGGGCTGGTCTTTTGCGAACACTCTTGGGGAATGGTATGGGGGTAAGGGTTTGGGTCCCAAAAACGTTTTGAACGAAACGTTTTGAACGAAACGTTTTGAATGAAACGTTTTGACCGAAACGTTTTGACCGAAACGTTTTCACCGAAATGTTTTGAACGAAAGTTTTTTTTGCGAACCATGTTTTCAAATTTGCTGGGGGGCTGGGGCTCTTGGGTGCCAAAAACGTTTTGAGCGAAACGTTTTGAGCGAAACGTTTTGGGCGAAACGTTTTGAACGAAACTTTTGAACGAAACTTTTGAACGAAACGTTGTGACCGAAAGTTCTTGCCTGGGCTGGGCTGTGGCTGGGCTGGGCTAGCCTAGGCTGGGTCGGGCTGCTTGGACTGCCTGGTGGGCTGGGTTGCCTGGGCTGAAGGTTGTAGAGAAATTGGTTTATCAAGAAGCTTGATCCGATTTTGAGCTCCAGCTCAATGTTGGCCGGACCGTACCGGTGGTTACAAGTTTGTAGAGAAACTGGTTTATCAAGAAGCTTGTTCAATTTTTAACTTTTGTGTTGGGCCGTAGCGGTGGTTACAAACAAGGACAAGCAATTTCTATTTATCACTTTCTTGACGGGTTTAGGGTTTAGGGTTCTGGGTTTGGAGAAGCCTTCTACAGCAACAACTCTAACTTCCGAATGCGAATCGCTGTCCACCCAGCCCTGAACCCCACAAGCTCTGCAAAAGACGATCGTTACCGAAGTTTAGGGTTACGGTTTATGTTACGTAAACTGGAAAGTTTGGAAGATTCTGGAATTTCCGAAAATAGGGGACTCTTCTTATATAGCACCCTAAATAGTAGGATCCTTAGTATAAGGACCCCATAACGGTACCCCTCATTTTCGGAAACTCCCATTCCGTTAGCAATCTTGGAGTCTACTTCGAGGTTCATGGGTAGCTATATGTAGGGTTTATCAGCAGGCTAACTATAGTTGTAACCCATATCAGGGGACTTATAACATCTTATAACCCCACTTATAACTACCCATGGTGGCAAAAATCGCCTGCAGATGGCTTGAATAACTGATCTGCTCAACTCTACAATGTACTCCAGAAGGCCTACGTACTATAAGGGCCGTGGTAATTAGCTACACCACTTTGGGGGTTCCTTAATAATTAAGAATGATATCAATACTAGACATATAATAGAGTGGGATTCATCAAGGCCACTATATCACACGACGGTTTGGGGTCAACAAAGGAAATCGGTCGGGGCGTCTGGACGAAGAATTATGAAACCCTAGATGCTAAGGTCGTAGGGTTTAGGGTTTAGGGTTTAGGGAGCACCTTCATTCTCGGATTCCTTATTTGGATGAAAATTAATATCTCCTCATGTTTCAGACTTTGCGAGGTACAGGTAGGCGCTATGGAGGTTTGGTTTATCCATTACCTTAAACCCTTAGCCCTAGAACCCGGTTCCTCTAGTAGCTGGTCTTGAATCCGGTTCAGGTGCTGGCGATCTGCACTCCAGCTTGTGGTGGTCGCTTTGTGTAAGAAAGTCTGCACAGACATCTACTATCTTGTACAAAGCACAGTCAAGGGATACGTAGCTGTGCAAGCGATGGCATGTTGCCCTCTTCGATATAAGAGGGGACGACGTAGTCGTTCATGTCCTGCATACATATGCACGTATCTGCATACATATGTGATTAATTACGGTACAGATATCACAGATACAGATGCAGATACAGGTATAGATGTAGACATAGATATGAAACTGCCTTTGTTGATATAGATACACATACCGATATAGACACTGATATAGACATAGATGCACTTGCATACCCACACACTTAAGTATGCGCATGCCTATCATGATCGTCCCTGTGCTATAGACGCATCATGATAGGGCTCGTGTTGTGGGATTCGATGGTTCCTAGGTAAGCAGTATGCTAGGACTTGACGACTGCCGCAAATCAGACAACGGGTCATGCAGGGTGGCCCTTAGGGCACATTGAGCCCTCTCGCCTTAAGGCATCTTCGGCCCTCTCACCCCGGGGTGAGTGCAGGCATGGCTGAGCCCTGATTGAACCCATCTGCAGGTGGGATTTGGGAAGCGGAACACGACGCCACGGCATTCAAAGTATTCGCCTTGGTATTCAAGGCCCCAAGGCCTAAACCCACCCGCCTGACAGAGGGTTATGGGAATTGTGAAACGAGGAATGGAGCTCATGCCTATGAAGTGCCGCTGTCATCTATGGTAGCCTTACATTCCCCACCTTGTTCTGTGTATGGGACTCATGACAACAGCACTACATCCTTCCTGAGTTCTGGGAAGCCTCCCCAGTCTTCAGGGCAAGGCAGCAAAGATAAAAAACGGGCCGTACCTGTAGCCGAGAAAACCTACCTTTATAGGGGCTTCTACAGTATGGCTTTTATACACAATTCCTAATTGAAAGGGTAGGTTTGCTGGGGCCACAAGTAACCTGAGCCCTAACCGGGTTTCCTCGCGGCTCAGATATTTTTCAAGGAGGACAACTCCGCCGAGTCTATGCCGTGGCCACCAGAAGTCCTCGGTGCAGACGCGGGGCCCAGAATTTAGAGTTTAAGTCTGGGAAAATAGTCTAAGCTTTTGCTTCATCAGAAGGATTCTGAAGCAATTAAAGCACGCACATATGCATGTATATATATATATATATATATAATATAGATATACACACATGTAAACACACATATATATATATACACACACATAAAAACTATGAATAAATACAACATATATATATATATACACAGTATGTAATGTGGCGGTTTGTTTAGTACCATGGGCCTCTTTAATGCGTTTATTCAAGCCAGTACCCAAGAAGACGGCGCACTAATTAATGCGATTTTTTTGCTGGTGGGATTTTTTGTGGGCGGTTGCTCCTGTGTGCTGATGGTCGATCTTATGCACCCACGAACTAATGCAACCATAAAACCCTGGCCCTGAAGCCCGAAACTCGCCCTAAACCCGAAACCCCACGTACGGTACGACTGTACTACTACTGTACTAGGCTGAAGGAAAAGTGTTCAACATGAAGGGCTTGTAGTCTTGGTAGTTATCTTGGACTGATCGGGGCTTGCTTTCGAGCGTCTGGTGATCCCAGACCCTGCTAAACAGCTCCAGGTACTCCTAAACCTTCGAATTGTTCTTCTTCTGTACTACTACTGTACTATTGCACTACTACTGTACTACTGCTGTACTACTACTGTACTACGACTGTATTACTACGGTACTACTGTAGTACGACCATACTATTACGGCTCTACTGTACTATTACTGTACTACTGCACACTACCAGGGGTCAGACTTGGTCGATTGTGGAGGGGAACTGTAGGCTGGAAGGAAAAGTCTTCAACATGAAGGGTTTTGGTCTTGGTAGTTATCTTGGAGTGATCTGGGCTTGGTTTCGAGCTTTTGGTGATCCCAAACCCTGCTCAACAGCTCTAGGTACTCCCAAGCCCTCGTATTGTACTACTGCTGTACTACTACTGTACTACTGCTGTACTACCACTGCACAACGACTGTATGACTACGGTACTACTGTCGTACTACCGTACCATTACGGTTCTACTGTACTATTGCTGTACTACTACTGTACTACTGCACACTACCACGGGTCAGACTTGGTCGATTGTGGAGGGGAGTGTAGGCTGGAAGGAAAAGTCTTCAAAAGGAGGGGGTTTTTGGTCTGAGTCTTGGTAGTTATCTTGGAGTGATCGGGGCTTAGTTTCGAGCTTTTGGTGATCCCGATCCCCACCCAGGCATCCGCGGAGAACCGCAACCCCCACCACCCAAGCGCTCCCCAAACCTCCCGGACACCCCGATTCCCTTCCATCAAAGCCACCCGGGCCCTGACCCCGGTCCGAAGGGTCACTGACACCAGATTATTCAAGCCAAAACTTTTGGTCGAGGGGGGGGGGGGCTACATCTACAAAATGCCGCATAGCGCAGAAGACTGTACAGCCCCAGCGCCGCCATAGGTGCGTCTGCCGGCTACGCCATACAATCCATGATGGCATGAGTGCCACGCAAAAGCTAATTAAGCATTCAGGTTTAGAGTCGCCCGACATAATGGCATGCATGGGCACGAAGGACATGCATACTTTGCAACGGGGCGATGTTGAACATTGGCTTGGACGACATGCTCGCAGACTACACTGCAGAGGAGTTTGCTTTTGGTTTCAGGAAGGTGCTGGCTTTCCAGCCATGCGCCATGAAGCAGAGCAGAGGCTCATCACGAGAGGGCATCACCATCAAAGATGGCCATGTTGAACATTGGGCTTTGAGCACAGGCTCGTATACTACACCGGTAAAGAAATTTGCATCTGGTTTCAAGAATATGCTGGACGTCCCCACGCGCTTCAGCAGAAAACTAAAGTTGCCCGCCACTGCAAGTCCTACGAAGAGGGGCCGGTCACAAGGTGTTGGATCTGAAGACCCTGACTGCCGGCAGACGGCGGCTGCTACCGAGTGAGAGGGCATGATCAACACCACGAGCATCAACGCCGACATCACAGGCTTTGGCGAGATTGGGTGTGATGGGTCGGACGGGAAGCAGTGAACAGGTCAGTGGGAGCGAACACGAGGATGCATAGCCTGTTGGCTGCGACAGTGTAATTTGAAATTTCCGGTGGGCCCGGTAATAGTTTACCGCCTGTGTGTTGGATGTCCTCATATCACCTCGTTGAAGCTGCTTTGACATCTTGGGTCTGTAGACTGGGTCGGGATGACCTCATCCGATACCCATGAGGAATACCCTGCACTTCGTAGGTCCCAAACTAAAAGTCCATTTTCGAAGTATATTTGCCCCTGCTCCTCTTTGGGTGGTGGCACGGAATGCCGACAAGAAACGGGAAATGCTTAATCCGCTTCCTCGTGCGAGTGCACGCCGGTGATAGTCAGTTTACTGGTCTGCACACAGCATTAAGTAGCGCATGCATGGGCTTTGTCTGACTTGGATTCCGTGCCTCTGAGAGTGAAAGTGACGTGATATACGTATGTACAGGTGAACACAAAGAGCAAATCATTGCGGGCTCCATATTTGCGGCATACCGGTATAGATCTCTGTGTCTATATCCTTCTCTCTCTCTCGCTCTCTCTCTCGCTCTCGCTCTCGCTCTCGCTCTCGCTCTCGCTCTCGCTCTCGCTCTCGCTCTCGCTCTCGCTCTCGCTCTCTCTCTCTCTCTCTCTCTCTCTCTCTCTCTCTCTCTCTCTCTCTCTCTCTCTCTCTCTGTTTCTTTCTCTCTCGCTTTCTCCCTCCCTCTCTCTCTCTCTCGCTCTATCTCTCTCTCTCTCTCTCTCTCTCTCTCTCTCTCTCTCTCTCTCTCTCTCTCTCTCTCTCTATATATATATATATATATAAGTAACAGGCTACATCAATATCATGGTTCAGTTTACATTCCTCAACCGACGTGGTTTGGAGTCTCCGAAGAAGAGTCGCTCGGAGATTTTGCGACGCTGCGTGGGTCATGGAAAGACATCACTGCATAGAACTTCATAGTAAAAAAGAAATATGTTGAGTGCTCTTTATCGTGATGAAAAGCACTGAAACTGTTCTTTCTTGCGCGGATCTCTCAAGATCGGGGTCGACTGTTGAGCCCGTACATACCACAAGATTGCTCAGTCGGAATCCCAATCCCAAGATGGACCTTGCTATAGAGAACCAACCCTAAGCTGGTCTTAGCCTCTTCGCCAATGCTGCAGGTTTTTGGGGGCTGCCCCAACTGTGGCCAAACGAAACCACAACTATCCGACAACCCCTAAAACCCTGGCCCTAACTAGACCCTGAAGCGTAAATCCTGAACTCAAGCCCAGGTGCAAGAACCCATCCTCGCTCTCATCGACCGGAATTCCCGCAATCGCTGCGAGCATCTCATTTACACGACGCATCTTCATCTCCATGAATGTTTGGAACTGGCCCTGTGGCACTTCAGCTGTTTAGGTGGACGTGAAGGGTTTCTTCAGCAGGGGTTCTTTAAAGGGATTCAAAGATCTTCCTTGGTGCCCTTTAAACCTCTTCTGATTTGGACTCCATGAGCGGTTACTTGGAGGGGCAGGGGACTTAGCACGCCGTTTATAAGCATGTATAACTCTACTTATAATCTACTTACTAAGTCCACTGCCCGTCCAAGTAGGGTTGATGGATTTGGACCGATTGGGGGCTTTCAGGGTTTCGATCCGCCCTGTATACCATTCCGGAGCCTGAGAGGGAAATGGAGGCCCAGTTTGAGTGTCAAGGGCCAGCAGTTTAGGCAAAACAAACCCGAGATTCGAATCTCCGATCCCTAAGCCAGCCTCCGAACCGACCCCTAGCACGCAAACCTAAACCCCAAACCTTGAATGGGCTCAGGCGTTCAGGGCTTACGTGTCCAGTTTACTAGCAAAAACCTAGGGTGATAGCACCGCAAAAGGGCTAAACCCTCAACCCTAAACCCTAATTATAGACTACGACTAGGAGAGTTTCCGGCAAACGCTTGCCTGGCTCTTGATCAACCACGCTTGGTCGTGAAGGATTTTTCCTGAGTTCTGAGGTCGCCAAGCAGAAAGGGCTCAGGGTTTTCCGGTTGACCAAGCAGTCCTCCCTTTCAAGAAAAAACCAGCAAAAGAAGACCCCATGTAGCAAACATGTTAGGGACCCTAAACCCTAAACCATAAAAAGGAAACCCTAAACCCTGAACCGTAAACCCTAAACCCTTAAGGCCTAAACTCAGTCCGAGCTGCCCACATCAACGCCCCTGGCCTGGCCTCGAAACCTGCCGGTGAATGCTACTTGGAGGTTCATGGGTAGTTTTCAGTGGGGTTATTGGGTTGTTTAAGGGTTCTATAGGGTTTAGGGTTTAGGGGTTTAGGGTAGTTATGAACGGGGTTATAAGTCCCCTAATATGGATTATAAGTAGAGTTAACCTGCCTGTAACCCCACTTATAACTACCCATGAACCTCCGAGTACGGTTTAGGGTTTCAGGATTTAGGGTTTAGGGCTCGCGGGGTTTAGGCTTTTGCCGTGTGCCTCTTCCCCCGCGATTGAAGGCCCACAACCTAACCCCAACAAACCTAACTGTTTACGGAATCCTACTACAATAAAGCAGAACATGGAACCCTAAAAACTTGTTGGCATTGGCTTCATCTAGAGCTTACTGAGGGTTTTGAGAGCTGACATTTTGAAGAGTTGGTGTTCAGGGGCATGTCCTCAATGCAGAACCCGACGGAACACTGTTCAAACCCGCCGATACTGGAGGATCAGGGGACTTAGTAAGTTAGTTTATAAGTACCTTGATTGGGGTAATAAGTAATTATAAGTATGGTTACCTTAACTATAACCCTAGTTACTAAGTCCCATGATCCTTCAAGTATTGAGAATTTGCCATGGCTGCAGTGTTGAGGATGTACAGCTTTGATTTGGGAGGGAAGGTGTCGGACCTGTGGTGTGGGGAGGCTAGTAACCCTAAAGCCCAAACCCCAACCCCGTAAATAGTCTGTAGGATGTACGCTTTTGATTTCGGGGTTCCGATGTCACGGCCAGAGCTTGTGCTGCGGTCTTCGGCTTATAGACCTCCTAGGTTTCAGGGGGCCCCTGACAGCCCAATCCTGAATCCTTTCGACAATAATTACATCAGGGCTTTCAAGCCCATTATACCACAACTATAAGAAGGAACCCCCAAAAATGTAGTATGTTAAGGCCCCTACGTATATTACAGCCCTAAAACTCTGCTCCCTAACTCCAACGCCCGAAGCCCATGCCTCAGGCACCCTTTGAAGAACTCCTCCACCTCGACTGAACCTGCTCGCGCGCTTGGGGTCTAAGAATTAGGCTTCAGGATTCAGGGTTTAGGGGTTTATGGTCATGGTTTAGAGTTCAGGATGTAGAGTTTAGGATTTGAAATTGAGGGGTGATGGCTTAGAGTTTGAGTCTCAAGGTTAAGGATGTGGAATTTAGGATTCAAAATCAAGCGGTGACGTCTTGGGGGTTTGCGATTTAAAATGTCGTATCTAGGTTACAGCTTCTTCCATCCTAATCACCACTTTCCCGGTCAAGCTACTTCCGCACCGCAAGAGCTGAAGGAGGTGATTCCTTTCCCAGAGACTCCAATGTCCCTGAATTCAGGCATATTCCTTAAATCATATTGGGGATCCCATTCTATTTTAAGGAATACTCCTTAATTTATCGGATATTGGAGTCTCTGGGTTATAGCGGCCCCAACCGACCCTAAACCCCCATAAAGGGCCAAAGCGTGATGATAGACTCCGAAGTCACTCTGTGAGAATGCCCTGCCCACATTGATACTTGTTTGATCGTTGCACCGCTCCACATTGATTAGAAGGATGAGAGAAACCTAAGCAGTTACAGTCCTTCAGGTCAACCAAAGAAACCGTCAACAGTTCACTCACCAGTGGCTGCAGGCTTACATGTTGCTTGCTCGGAGAAGCTTCGTGCTGTGCCGCAGTGGGGTACCCAGCCACTCGGTACACTGCTAGCCCGCATTAATGAGTGCAAAAAGACTCCGGTTGCGAGTCCCTAAACCCGAAAACCCCTTGGAGCAACAAAAACCTCACCCTGAACCACAAAACCCTGGAGCTTAGAGTTTAGCGTTCAAGGTTTGGCGCGTAATGAATTGGAGCTCCTCTTTCTCCAGACCTAAGAGTAACCTAGGAATAAAAAGGGTGTCCTTTTTGGCTTAAAGGGTGATATAAAGGAACCTGAACCCTAAAAAAGGGAATAAGGGCTTACTCTGGGTCCTAGTTCTGTCGGAGGTTGCAAGAAGAAAGGTTCTTGAAAAGACGCTCAGACGATCCACCCCGGGGCTGCTGACGGGAAAGGATTCGACATGGAAGCCTGAAGTGTAGGGTTTAGGGTATTAGGGTTTAGGCTTTGCGGTTTGGGGTTTAGGGTTTGGGGCTCGTACACTGCAAATGTATTTCGGGATAATGCTCAACATCTGATGTGCTGGCCCCTTTCTTTAACACGTGCATCCCGCGTGTTCTTAGTTGATGGGAGGAGGAAAGGGGGGTCTAAGATTCTTGGGGGGGGAAAAACAAGATGATAAGAGGGAACTCTAGTAGAAACATAATGATACGTGATCAAGCTTCTAAGTTACCCCAAGTCCTTGCATGACCAAGACTCCACGTGCAAGTTACGCCGCATTGGGTTGCCCGAAACCTCAAGCCCTGCAACCTGAAACTGACAAACGACCGTTACAAGCTCCCGGCTCGAACAAAGACGACAAAACCCTTGTGAACAAAAACCTTTGAGAACCATAAATAAGGCCCCCGAAACATGAAACCCCACTGTAAAACCTGAACCCGAACCCTGAACCCTCAAGAAGAAAGTGGCTGGAAATTGTATGTGTTTAGTTTTACGACCAGCCCTTTCAAGGACTCGAACCCAACCCTGCCCACCAGCCCACCAAGGTGGGCCCCCCCCCCCCCCCCCCCCCCCCCCCCAGCCAAAACGAAAAGCGGAAAGCTAGGTGCAGAAAAGAAACCTTGGCCCAAAACTTAGCGGCACTCAAACTCTCAAGAATTTCTACAATCCCGAAACCCTAAATGCACCAGACCGCTAAACCCTAAACCCTAAACCCTAAACCGAAGCGTAAACAGCCTCCAGAGTCCAGGTCCAAGAGTTTGAAGAAGCTCCTCGGCTTTCACAGGGCCAGGGACGGTTGATGATATAAATCCTGCATTACTTTAATGACCCTAGACTATGGGAATTATATGGTATATATCTTATTTTGGGCAATGCAGGATTTATATCATCAACCGGAGGAAAAGAGATGGCTTTGGGGGTTTAGGTTTAGGGTTGTACCTGGACCCTAAAAGCCTGTAGAATAATCGCCGTTTACAGGTGCTGGGCCATTATTTTACCTACTTTTGGGGTGCTTAGGTAGGGTCTAGGGGTTTAGAGTTTAGGGTTTTTGCAAATAGAGCTTAGAGTTCCTTTACTACCTTCCCAAACCCTGAACCATCCCAAACTACCGAATGCCTAAACCCGCAAGGTCCAACAACAAAGCAATAAAGGATACATGCTCCAGATCCCAGTCTCCATGCGTCCCAGACGTCCAATCCGAGTGTCTCGAAGTACCTTGGGGTGGAATTTAGTGGCGCTTTCTCACACCTCGGAACCTCAATCAATAATTTTCGTCATTCTTCTGGCCTCTAAAATAGGTCTACGGGCTCTTGGGGCGTTGGAAGTTTGGGACTTGAAGGTGCGCCCGGACCCGAAGACGGAATCCTCATTAAGAGCATGATGCTTTGAGATTGACTTTTCTTTGGTAACTACGGCCCTAAGGATTTGGAGCTGTAATGTCTGAGAGGTTTGGGCTCTTCGCAAAGGGACGCACTGTAGCGTTCACGTTTTAGCACTTGCATCGAACACCAAACTAAGCTGTACCGGCGAAACATCCATTCCCCTTCCCCCTCCCCCGTAAACCCCTAATCACTAATCCCCCAAGACCCTAAACCCTAAACTTGTAAAGCCTGAACCCACAAATAAATCCTAAACCCTGCAAGCCGTAAGCCCTACAGCTAGAAGCATGGCGAAGTGCTGCACGACAGCAGGCGAGGTCAATCCTTCCTCGAACCTGGGAATCGGAAGGCTTGAGAGGTTTACAATAGAAGACCAAAGTTGGAAACCCAATAGCCTCAATCCTCTAATTTGGAGTAGTGTATAGGGAATCCCATCCCAGCACAAATTGGCCTTAATCCGGTTTCCAAATTTATGAGCTTCCAATAGGGTTTAAGACAGTTTGAGTTCAGAGTCTTGGGGAAATCTAGACATCGACATCTGATTAGCAAACCCCCGGTTCATCCTTTCAATCCTTTAAAAATTGAAGGACATGATATTCGGATCTCTGCCTTTAAGCCGTATTGGGGAGAAAGGCCAGCTTGACTCATCAGGGATTTGCATCAGGATTGAAGGTAAAAGTCCGATAAGGACTTGCAGAGGGCTCAGGATTCATATCCACATCCATACTCATAACGAGCCGCTCATGTGCCAGGGATCTTCCACATTCTCGCTAGACAAGGTTTTCGCCGGTCAAAGTTTAGGTTCCGGGATGCTGGAGTTTCGGGTGCATTCTGGGGACCATGCTGCAGAATCATCTTCGCTCCAACCTTATCGCAACTTGAATTGATCATAACCCTAGTTGTTCAGCTCTCTCATCCAAAGCGCTTCAAATTTCAATGATGGGGTAAGACTTGCCGCGACTTGCCTTTACCCTGATAAACAATCCCTTAACCTTAAATCCAACTGCCAAAACCTAAACCCCTAATCTTGGCCCCAAACTTTAAACCTCAACTCAAGGAGCATTGCGTATGTAATGTGGCCCTCCTCGTCGGCGCCAAGCTTGCTGAAAAGTGCTCGGATCTTCTCCTAGGTTCAGGCCCACACTTGAGAAGCAAGATCTGGGGACTTAGTAAGCAGAGCAAAGTAAGCCAAAAACACATAACTACTTGTCACCCTGATCAGAGCATTTCTCAAACTACTTGTAAGCATGCTCATCATTCTGAAGATACCGCTGTCACGATAAATTCATCTTCCTCATAAACCATGGTCGGCCCGGTCTCCACATGCGCCTCCTTGTTTGCGAGCATTGATTGAACCACATTGGCATGATCGTTCTGGGCGCTTTCCACCGCTGACTGGCAAAACACACCAGTCAACACATTCAACCTTAGCTGCGTTGGTGCTGAAGTGTTCAGTAACAAGAGACGAGGTCTGTTTGCAGAGTTAGGCCAGCAAACACAAGTGCCCTGCAGCAAGTGGCCCGGTAGTGAGGGGCTTAAGGCTCCAGGATTGCAGGTAATAAACCCGAAGACCAATACATGCCAGCTTGTTTCGGGCGTCAGAAGTTGCGACGGTTAGGCATGGCGATTGGTACCTCTTTGCCGGCGATTGCGCTGCGGGATGAGTCTCTTGCCAAGGCGGCTGAAACTACAATATGCAATCGAAACGAGGTTATGGGACAAAAGCATGCCCAGGCAAGTCCCAGTTCTAAAACCGTGTTAATGTCACACCTCAGGCGCACTGCAAAATAGGTGAACTGTATGTAGAAAAGGAAAACGAAAACCCAGACCAAGGATATGTGCTCCAACGGCTCCAGCACGTCCTCCCAGCTCACGCCTGTCGCAGCATGGGATTAAACCCTCAACCTTAAGCCCCAAGGCGACACTTTCCGGGTTTGGGGTTTGACTCTACTCCGCTAAGAAGGTATTAAAAAAACTTCGGCACAAATAAGACTTGGATTCTGAGAAGGTGGTGTGATGTTTGACATGGTGATAGAAAGTGGCCGTTGCAAATTGCCGCCCCCAACCCAGAACCCTAAAGTCTTTGCTGAAGGCTCGACAACCGCCACCGTGGAGCCCGAAGCGTCTTCGCGCGGCAGAAAACACCTCCGTGGATCCTAGGTCCTAGGTAAAGCGAGGTGGCTGGCACCATGCATACCGGCCCCTGCGGGCACCTCCCAGGATACAAGGATTCCACCGCCCAACCTTTTACGAGTTGGAGCAGCCTGTCCTCTTGACCAGGGTTGCACCCTCCAACCCTTCAAAGATAGGACCCCCCAACCCTTCACGATTTGGAGTGGTTCCCTTTCAGGAGGCTGACAGCTGATTTTCTGCTACCAAACTCTGCTTCTAAAATGGGGCATTGACATTGGGGTGTCGGCCGATCTCGGGGCTCCCCCTCCAGGGACAGGTTGCACACCGCAAACCGTTCACGATTTGGAGCGGCTCGGACAGATAGGACCCCAACCCTGCGCGATTTGGAGCGGTTGCCCAAACGGGCAAGGATGGGACCCCGCCAACCCTTCACGCGTTGGAGCAGATCCCCGAAACGACAAAGATGGGACACCCCAACCCTTCACGATTTGGGGTCTGTTCCGTTCCAGGAGGCTGACAGCTGATTTTCTGTTACCGAATTCTGCTGCTAAAATGTGCCATTTGCGTTGGGCTGTCGGCCGATGTCGGGGTTCCCGCCATTTCGACGACTCCCGCCAGCACGCCTCACAGAGAGTCCCATCCAGAAAGGACAGATTCACAAAAAATCCCACATGCATTGCTGCTTGTCTCCTCATAATAACTCCCGCCAGCACAGCCTCACAGAAAGCCCGCTGCTTCCGGCACCAACCAGGACAGCCTTACAGAAAGCACATGAGAACCCGCCAGCACAGCCTCACAGAAAACCCAACCCAGAAGGGACAAACTGACACAAAGGCCACATGCAGTGCTGCTTTCGATCCTCCTGACCTGGGCCCCGTTGAAAGTAGCGGCCCCGGTGGGTTATGTCGAAGCACCCACTAGGATGCCCAGAAAACTTCACAACTAAACCCTATATAACTCAAGGTGGGGTTGGAGTGGGCTGCCATCTATGCACAAGTGCGAGCGGCCACCCCTGACGTCACCACAACCCTAAACCCTAAATCCCCAATCGTAAACCCTAAACTCTGGAGCCCTGAACCCTCCGATACGCCTCCACAGATGGCCATGAAGAGGCTAAGCATCATCTTCGGCAAAGAAGTGTAGTACCTGAGGCTGCAGGGTTCCGGGCATACTGTAGGCCCATAGGCTTTCGGGTTTAGGGTTCAGGGTATGGTGCCTGGATGTATTTGGGGATTGTTGGGTTCAGGGTTCTCCAGCCCCTCTCCGCGCCCACTGTACTTATCTCTGGTTAGTAGGGAATGGAGGAAGGGGGTACAATTAATTATAACTACTATTACTACCATTCTTCCATTCCCTCCGAGTAACCAAAGGTAAGTGTAGTCGAAAATCGTTACAGTGAAGATTTAAATATAATTCTAACAAAAATATGCTTAATAATACTACTGTATCAGTATCAGAAATGAAGAAAATGCAATCACTCGGATTTTTTCATCCCTTCGGCACCTTGCCCCTCGGTTACTACACAGCGACGCCGCCTGCATACACCAACCCTTTGGATACCTTAACCTCCCAAAACCTACCTTTTTCTAGGGTCCCTATACATTTTCCATATTAGGGTGTATAACAAGAACCTACAAAAAGGTAGGGTTTGGTAGTTTAGGGTAGCCAGATGTTTTAACCTCGAGCCTCGACCCCTAAGCTCTAAAGTCTAAACCCCAAACGAGCCACTCTGTCCGGTTCGCAGCACCCGCCACCCCACCCTCTCCTATCCGTGGTCTCGTGTGGCCTAGTTTTTGGCTTGCTGAGGCATGTGACGCTCCATACTGCGCTGCCTTTTCTCAGAGCAACAACATGCAATTTTTTCGCAACTGATTTTGCTCGAATTGGTGCTTTTGCGTTAATCCTAGGCGCAAGCCTCGAACACAAATCAGGGTTTGGGGTTTCGGAAGGAACCTCATGTCGTCTCTGTCATGAACGAATCCCGCCTGGCTATGGCAATCCAGTTTGTGCGTCTCTTAAAGGTATAGGGTTTAGGGTTGAGGGTAAGTCTTAAGGTTTTGAAAGACACCTGAACCCGAACGTCAAAACCTATGGAGCGCTAAGTATGGGAACCCCGGTCTGCGCCGAGGAGCCTGTCAACTGAATCTTTGGCCCGTTGTGGCAGCATGTCAAAGTCTGGGGTGACGCGATATTCACAGACAGCTTGTGCCAAGAGCACCGAGAAGAGGTAGATGATCAGCATCAGCCTACACTGTGGTGCGACATAGGGGTTCTATATAGTGGTAGGAAGGTAGGTAGCGGAGAATCCAGATGCGCAGTCTCACGTTACTTGGATGATCAGGGGGCTTAGTAAGTTAGGTTAGAAGTACCTACTTCATTGGGGTTATAAGCAATTAAGATAAGTATGGTCGCCTTAATTATAACCCTAGTTACCAGGTCCCATGATCCTTCAAGTAGGGATCCTTCATCCCGCCTACCTGGTACTACCTTCATCCCATATTTTTGGGGGTTCTTGAATACAGCGAGGGCTCAGGATTTCGGACCCCAGAACTGTAGCAGGCTCGGCTTGGAATCACTTCGCCTTAGCCTCGCCAACTCCAAACCGGTGCGACTTTCCAAAACCCGAAGTGCCTGCAGCACAGCCTTACAAAACCCAAACCCCTCCATGCCCCGGATTGTCTGCCATAATCCTAAACGTGCCAGCGCCCTCAGACCCTATACCCTGAGCCCTAAACCCAACAAAACCTACTAATGCAGCCACTTGAGCAAGACCAGCGCCCAGAAAAGCGACTTCAACGTGTAGAGGATGGAGGTGATCCTTAGTTTCAGATTTAGAGCCCAGTAAACTCAAACCATGAAACTTAAAGAGGGCCACACATCCAAACAAAAACAAGTTTACAAATTTGGCTACTAAGTGTCAGAGTCCGCAGCGACAGAACGAAGCGGAAGACACGAACAAGCCGCAGGGTTTTCCTTGGTTCAGTGACTCGGTTTCCGTGCTGGCTTCCCCCTGACCCAGCAGCAGCAGCAGCTTTGGTGACGGCAGCAGTAGCAGTAGTAATAGTAGTGGCAGTAGCAGCAGGAGGAGGAGGAGCAGATGGAGCAGTAGTAGTAGTAGTAGTAGTAGTAGTAGTAGTAGTAGTAGTAGTAGTAGTAGTAGTAGTAGTAGTAGCAGTAGCAGTAGCAGTAGCAGCAGCAGCAGTAGTAGTAGTAGTAGTAGTAGTAGTAGCAGTAGTAGTAGTAGTAGTAGTAGTAGTAGTAGTAGTAGTAGTAGTAGTAGTAGTAGTAGTAGTAGTAGTAGTACTAGTACTAGTAGTACTAGTAGTACTAGTAGGACTAGGAGTAATAGTCGTCTTCGTCGTCGTAGTGGTAGCAGGAGTAGTAGGAACAGTAGTAGTAGCTGAGCAGCAGCAACCAATTCCGACCCTAGATTAGAGCAGCCCACCCAAATCTGCTCAAACTTTCAGATGCCCCCTGGTCGAGAAATATCCCTGGCTACACACCCCCGAAACCGGAGGCTTAAGTGTGCACCCTCAGCCACAGGAAACTCCCTCTCCGGGTGCTGCTGGTTGGCGTCGCTGAAGGGAACCCCAAGGCCCAGCGTAGGTCTGTATATGAGAAATATCTACTTAAAGGTCCTTGTGGAGGTTCATGGGTAGTTAAACGTAGGGTTACAAGTAGGGCAACTATAGTTGTAACCCCTATTAGGGCACATATGACCCCACTTATAACTACCCATGAACCTGCAAGTACGAATCCAGAAAGTATACCAAACTTCTCAAGAAGACGAGAAGCACGATCCCAGCCTCAATCCCAGCACATGCATCACCCCAAATGCGAAACCCCATACCAGAACCCGAACCCTGAACTCCAATCTTGGTCCGGTCTTCAGGAAACGAGTGATGCGAACAACGCGAAGAGCGCGAAATCCAGATGTGTGAGCCACGCCAGTGGCGGCCAGGATGTCGAAGGCGATTTCTGCCCTTTGCTTCGGGTTGAAGCTTAGAGTGCTATCTACTTTAGAGGCTGGGGCATTCGGGCGTTAGGGCTTTGGGTTTATGGTTCCAGGGGATTGAAATACTTTAGGCTTCAAGAGGTTTAGGCAAGTGAGGGTTCATGCCGACCCTATACCCCAAACCCTGAACCCTATATTGTATGGGTAGTTGTCAAAATTAGGGTCCCTTTTTGTGTCCCTATTATGATACGGCACCTATTATTTAGGGTACCCAAAAAGGGGCCATAATTTTGACAACCACCCATATGGTTGAGGCTTTGCAAACTTATACGCCCGGCGGCTAGAAATGCGGTTGGACCCTAGGCTCCTGCACCCCCAGCCTCTTTAAACTCTAAGTCGCCAGTAATCCCGAAACACAACATCAGAATACGGTTTAGGGTTTAGGGTTTAGTCCCCAATATGATAGACTCCCTCCACCCCCCCACAACCCTGTATTGTAGGCCCCTACATTAAACCCATCATAACCATAAACCCTAAACCACCTAAACCCCCAAACCCCAGACCCTGAATACTGAACCCTAAACCCCAGACCCTAAACCCCCAAAGCCCTAAACCTTAAACCACCCAAAAAGCCAGGCTGCATAGAGCTCCTAAACCCTAAACCTCTCAACCCCTAAACCCCTAAACCCCTAGACTCTAAACCTTAAACCCCTAAACCCTAGACTCTAAACCCTATAAACCCCAAAGCTTACCTTGGGTTAGTAGGGAACGGAGGAATGGGGTACAATTATAACTACTAATACTACATAGTACTACCATTCCTCCATTCCCTACTAACCCAAGGTTAGAAAAGCCAGGCTGCATAGAGCTGACGACCACGATAACGTCGAGCCAACTCCAAGCCCAGTCCCTTCCTTGCTTGGAGGATGAGGGAATTAGTAAGTTAGGGTTCTAATTAAGGTTCCTTAAAGAGATCTATAGGGTTTAGGGTTGAGGGTCTACTTGGGAGGATCAGGGGACTTAGTAAGTTAGGCTAGTTAGGTTATAAGTACCTCAGTTGGGGTTATAAGTATTTCAGTTACCTAAGTATAACCATAGTTACTAAGTCCCATGATCCTTCAAGTAGACCCTAATCCCTAAACCCTATCCCTTTAAGGAACCCCTACAGATCCCTTTAAGGGGCCTTTTTTAAGAACCCTATAGTTACTACGTCCCATGACCCTTCAAGCGCCGACGCTTTGGGGTCTGTGTCTTTCTGTTTTTTTTGTCGTTTCAGGCTCGGTGTCGTTTAAGGTTTAAGGCTTTAGGGGTGGAGGTGTTTAGGGGTTTATGGTTTAAGGATTTACAGGTTCAGGGTTTAGGGGTTCAGGGTTACCCTGGACCCTAAAGAACCTACCGTTTTAAGGACTTAGTAGAAGAGGAAATCATAGTGCGCAAACCTAAGAAGGTAGGTTCTTCAGGGTCGAGTAAGGGATTAAGGAGTTAAGGGTTTAAGGGTTTAGTCAATGTGGGGGCCGCAATAATTGGAACAGGGTCGTATAGTTAATCATTAAAGGCAACACGCAGGAATAGCATTGGTAATTATTCGGCTTCTACATGAAACTCCACCCCATACAGAAAGTGTTTCCTGAGGGTCTGAGAGTTTAGGCCTTGTTGTTCGAATTCATTTTTCCTTCAGGTTCTGCTTCTGGTGAACCCCGAAGGAAGGCCAGCCAGAGGCGTTTAGGGGCGTCAGGGTTTACAGTTTAGGGTTTCCATGACGCCTTGTGATTCGACCTGGCTGTATGCAGCTTAGTAAGAGCCGAAGGACCGCAGAAGAATGCATAGCCCCCTGCAGCCGCACGCAGCATGAGCTCGAGCGTAAAGAAACCTGTGCAGTCGCCGTCATAGGAATTTGTAGCTTTCGATTCGAAAACAAGGTTTAGGGTTTAGGGTTTAGGGTTTAGGGTTTAGGGTTTAACTAAGTAACACCAATATGTAAAAAAGGCAGCGGAAGTCTTGATCAGCCAATCTGGTTCGGGCTTGTAAGTGGGGGGACGGAGCTTACTGTACTGCGGGCGGTAACGTCAAGTGTAGGTTATCAGGGGTCTTGTGTTTGGATGGGGTCTTGTAGGCAATACAGTTTGAAGGATTAGGGTTTAGGCAGTGTGTCTTCCTTATTTGTGTCTCGCTTTCGTGCTTCACGAACACCACATGTGAGAACCCTCGCGAGCCACTGTCCTGTCATGGCCCTGCAGAGGGTGGTGATCTTCAGTGTGCCATGACTACGGGCAATAACTTAGAGGGGCTGCGTGCCCTAGCCCAAAAAAGGTCTTTTCAAGTATGCTAGGGTTATGTGAACTTAAAAATGCTAAAGGTTACCTACTCAGCTACTAGGACAATGAAGACTAGGCACCTGTGTAGATGTACTGGATAATGACGTAGCCCGGCGGGGGCTGCTCCTGGTGCAGCGTCTGTTGCACTTCGATCCCAATGAAGATCGTGTTGGTCAACACTAGCAGGGCAAAGAAGCTGTCGAAAGCCTCGGATTCGCAACGGTGGCTTCCATGAACATACTCTCTTCTGTACCGTCAGTTTCGGTAATGACAGGCGGGATTTAGGGTCTGGGGTTCAGGGTGTAGGCAGGGTTTACTCTTCTGGCAGTGGGGGGTCTCCGGACAGAGAGGGACTGCAGCAAGTCTGTACCGGGATCCTTGCGAAACATGTTTGAAATAACTAAGTCCTAAGCCCTTAACCCCAAAACCCTAACCCTGAACCCCGAATCAACAATCCCAGATCCTGAACCCTATATTATAGCATACACGCAGCAGGTGATCTCACACACTGTCGCAAAACATGGCGGGGACCGCCATCGGAGCTTCTGGAATTTACCGATGTCCTCGGCTCCATAGCAACGGAGGCACTCGGGTTAGGGTTTAGGGTTTAGGTTAATGGTTCAGGGTTTAGGAATAATACTGGGCCTTGGAAAGTAAAATGGCATTCCTCCAGAGTCATGAGTGGACTTGGCATAGCAAAGTTTGTGTTGCGGGGCTTTACGGCCTTGACTTATGGTCTGCTAGCTGTTCAAAGTCCAAAACCCGAAACTCGAATCTACTATCTTCGTAAACCCTAGACCTGAAAACTTAAACCGCAAATCCTAGCCCTACCTAGAGTCTCCATTGTAGCTCCTTTTTCGGTTAACCGGTTTTATGGTTAGGGTCCTAAATAGAGATTTTGGCTAACCAAAAAAACTACAATGGAGACTCTAGGTCCCAGAGAGACTCCAATATCCTTCAATTAAGGAGTATTCCTTAATCATGTTAGGGATCCTATTATGATTTAAGGATCATTCCTTCATGATTAAGGGATATTGGAGTCTCTGGGGTAAACCCTAAACCCTAAACCCCTAAACCCCCAAACCCTAACCCCTAAACCCCTAAACCCCTAAACCCTATAAACCCCCGAGCTGGGCTTCATTTCGTAGCGCTTCTTCATCCTGTCGGTATCGACCTTCGCCGCGATGCTCCGCAGAGCCATGTCGGCCTGGATTGCGGTTTAGGGTTTAGGGTTTAGAGTTTAGGGTTTAGGGAACGGTTGTAAAACAAAACGCTCCAGGGAGAATCGTAAGGGTGAAGGTTTAGGGTTGAGGGGTTTAGGTTTAGGGTTTAGGGCTTCGGGGTTTTGGGTTCCTTTACTTGCGCCTTGGACCCTAAACCATCCTAAGTTCAGGGTTTAGGTTAGGGCTTTAGGGATTAGGTTTGGGGACGAGGGTTTAACCTTAAATCCTCAAACCCCAATCCCCTATAAGTTCAGAAAGAGCATTTGCAAAGCGAGCTCAAAACCCAACGACCTGCCTGCGTGAAGGTTTCGAAAGCTGGTCGGAACGACTTCGGCAGCCGGGATTTCGGGATCGATCGAGGGCTGGCAGATGGACTGGTGGTTCGCTTCTTATCTCCGTCCTTGCTCCCCAGCGGGCTGTCATATGAATACTCCTTGCTCCGCTTCTTCGAATCGCCATCCTTGCTCCCCAAAGGGCTCTCGTATCCATACTCCTTGCTGCTCAAGGGATACTAACCCCAAGCCCTGAGCCCTGAACCCGAACACTTTAAACCTAAAACCTGAAACCTAAGCCCTAAACCCATGAATCATGAACCTAAACCCTGAACCCTGAAACCTAAACCCTAAAGCCTATACCCTGCTGCCCCAGGCATACTCCTTGCTGCGCATTGGAGAGCTGCCGGGTTCCTTGACCATGTCGTTTAAGGAGTGCCCGATTTCCTGGGTTCTTCTTCAGGAACATACTTGAAGTCAGGGTTTACGGGTTCAGGGTTTGGGTTTAGGAGTTCCTGCTATTTTAAACTATAATACCTAACAAAATACTTTAAAATGCACCAACGATCCCTGTTCCACTAACATAACGAAAAAGCTCCTTAACAACACCTCAGTTGCTGTTTCAGAGATCCCTGGCAACCTTGTCGGCGAAGGAGCAGAAGATTGCCGCTTGGGCATAGGTAGCAGAGACAAGTTTGACCTGCTTTGGGTGGGGATTGTTTGAGGCTTAGAGTTTAGGCTACGGAGTTTAGGGATCGTTGGTGATGTTGTGTGCTGTGTGGTTCTGCTGCAGCAATGTAGGAACCTTGGCAGTTGAACTAGGTGCTTTACACTGTCGGAACCCCATGGAGTAGTACTAGTTACTATAGTTATTTAGGCCAGTCAGTAGAGCAGCAAGGAAACCCTAAACCCTAAACCCCAAACACTAATCCTGCAGGGACCTAGCGAAGAACTTCTTTGGACGTTGCCTAGAACACATGAGCCCCAAAATCAAGGGCCAGGGTTTAGGGTTTAGGACCTTAATGTCTAGGCTTCCGATAAACCCAAAAACCAGCAACCTTGGAGGCCCTATAAACCCACGACCAAGGTATTAGGATGTCCTTAAGGGGGGGTGGTCCAAGGGGGGTAGGTAACCTAGTAATCCCCATTATTCCCCAATACTCCCTAAGCTTCCCTAAGGTTCCCCAAAGCTCCCTAGTACCCTCCCCCCTTGAACCACCCCCCCTTAAGGACCCTACAAAGGTATCAAAATCGTCAAGGAAATCCCGACGTATTTTCGAGCTGGTGCACCCACGAACTGGCTGCTTCAGCAGCTCGTCCTGCAAATCAAGGGGGCTTTGGGGGTTCCTCTACGGGTGGGTTTAGAGTTTTGGGCCTAAACCCTAAACCGTGGGTTTGGGCTTCATCAGCTCGTCCTGCAAATCAAAGCGGCGAAGCAATTCGTGATGTTGCCGCTCCAAAAGCTCACGTAGATCCATAGTGATGAGTTCCTGGGACTTACTTGGAGGTTCATGGATAGTTATAAGTAAGGTGATAAGTAGGCTGACTATAGTTGTAATCTAGGCGACTTATAACCCCTTTTATACTAACTACCCATGAACCTCCAAGTAGGGTTTAGGGGTTTAGGGTTTGGTGTTTTGAAGGGGTGAGCATGGAAGCGTTTTCGACTGCCGGGCTTCCAGGAACCCTAACCGTACATTGAAGGTTTCTGAAACGAGGTTTGTGGGCTCCATGTTGGCTTGGGGTAAATCAAAGTATGAACCTCTAGGGATAAAGGACAAGAAGTTCAAGTCGACGCAACTTCAAGTGCATGAGAGTCTCGCAGAGTCAGCTATGGCTCTCTTTTGCCGTGCATCCAACAACCCGGCATTTTTGAAGCGATGGAGATCATATTTTGCGAATTTTTTGAAAACGGCCTTCTGCCCGCCACCGGGGGAACCTCAGGCCCTGCAGACCCGGCAGCCTCGAGCATCACATTCTGCGCATGCTGCCAGGAATCTTGAAGCATAATCCCTCGCACTCTTCTACTTGAAGGATCATGGGACTTAGTAACTAGGGTTATAAGTAAGGTAGCCATACTTATGATTACTTATAGCCCCAATTAAGGTACTTATAACCTAACTTCCTAAGTCCCCTGATCCTCCAAGTACGTCTGGTTAGAACAGTTAAGCCGCAAACGCGTGTAAAGCTAACAGGCTTTTATTTTAAGGAACTCCGATACGGAGCCTGAATCCTGGGAGTTAGGATTAGCGGCGGACCCTTGGGGACACAGACCCTCTCAATAAGGTCCCTTTCAAGAGAGCCAGAAGTAGGGTTAAGAAGGGTTCCCTTTCAAGGGGTCTCCCTAGTACTGCCTAGGAAATCCCTAAATGCTGGTTTTCGGGGCTGGAGATAGCTACTCGCCTGCGAAGACTCTGCAGAACGCCACGAAACTAAAGAGCTCCAAAACCCGAAGGAACACTCAAAACGCCCTACCTAGAGTCTCCACTGTAGTTCCTTTTTTGGGTTTTATATAACCGTCTTATGGATTCCTAAACCCTGCGCGCTAAGCCCTGAACCCTAAATGCCTGAAGCCTACAATCCGAAAGCCTGACACCCCAGCACCTTAAGACCCCAATGCCTTAATGCACTGAACTCTACGGTTGATGATGTAAACCCTGCAGTACTCATAATTCGGAGTATACCATAATTTCCATAGTCTAGGGTCCTTCAACCCCTAGGATACCCAGTAACCTAAGAATAAAAAGGCCTCTCTTTTTGGTATTGGGTAACTTTATAAGGAACCTAGGACTACAAAAAGGGAATAAGGGTACTACTGGGCATCCTAGACCCTAAACCCTGAGACTCTCTTGCGTGCAAGCTGCTGCTCCTGGGCTCGCTGGGACGCTGGTCTGTGGCCTTTGCTTTGCCATGTCACGTGTCAAAATTGCAAAAATGATGGTACCCTAAATAGTACGTGCCGTATCATATTGGGGACCGCAGAAAAAGGGACCATAATTTTGACAACCACCCTGTGGGTGATTGTCGAAATGAGGGTTCTTTTCGGGTTTCCAAAATCTACTGTGCCATAGCCCGAATAGAATAATAAATGATTTTGACAGTCACCCGTGTCGGGATTGGGACTTCGGGGTTTAGGAATTGAAGGATTGAGGGTTTAGGATTTTGGGTTCGGGTTTAAGGGTTTGAGGATTTAGGGTTTACGGGCTTAGAGTTTTAAGGGTCCATGGGTTTAGAGATTTGAGGTTGAAGTTAAGTTTGTAAAATTTACTAGTATATAATATAGGGTTCAATTCTGGGTTTAGGCGTTCGGTAAGGGCTTTAGGGAGCAAGTGTTTCAACATTTTTAGGTTTGCGATACTATAAAGCTTGCTGTGAGGATTCCGTTCACGGATTAGGTGCTGGATCTTATGGCTCAGGGTTGATGGATGGGTTTTGTAGCGTTGCAAGAGGAATGTCGAGGCTTTCCATCGTGTTTTTTTGATCAAAGCCCTCCACCCCAAACCCTGGACCAGAGCCTTGGCTTTTTCATAGGTGCTTCAGTTGTGTTTTAAATATGGGAGTTTCTGAAAATTAGGGGTACCTTATTTAGGGCCCTTATAATCAGGATCCCACTATTTAGGGTACTTTTTTGGGGGCCCCCTATTTTCGGAAACTCCCATATCCCGCCTGAAAGCCATTAGCCCTGAACTGCATAATCCTGATCGGGAACACCATAAGGCGAGAAGTCAGGACTTGGAACAACTGTGGCGTCTCCTGGCGGGCAAGAAGCTCGAACAAACCGTCTTCAAAGGTGCGGATGGCCTCCATCGATCTCAACCCGCCCGGGTTGATATGGCAGCTCGGCTCCTTTAAACCTCCGCACCGTCAACAATATACTACACCGCCAGACACTAAGAACGGCACAACAAAGTGTCGTCGTCGTCGATGTCATGATATATAAATGCGACCACTATGCTAAGGATAAAAGGTTGCGACAATGGGACCCGAAACCCTAAGTAGATAACAATCTCAGTTGGCATCCGGGCCTTTATCACTGGAGTAGTGTTTAATTGAGGGAACATATCATAGTCTAATCATGCAAGGAACTCCACGGAATAGTATTCCAAACGGTTTAGGCCCCTAGACCATCTAGTGCTTCCGAGGACTGAGTCACACTGTCGGCCTGAAGCATTACAATCCCTAAAGCCGAAACCCCAAAACCCGTAAACCACTACAATGCCATATCCTTAAAGACCCCTTCAAAAGGAACCCTTAGAGGAACCCTTAGGCAATTTTTTAGGCACCTATAGTACGTCCCTCGGCTTGGCTTCGGCGAAAACAAGATCGTTAAACCCGTGGCAGGGCTCGTGGCTGCGGGCATCCTCATGCTCCAAGCATCTCCGGGTTCGGGGCTCAGGGGCTCTTTAAAAAGGGCTCCTTTTGGGTTCCTTTTCGGGTTCCTTAAAGGGATCTATAAGGGATTTACAGGGTTCGGGGCTAGGGGGTTGAGGGGTTTAGGGGTTGAGGGCTTGAGGGGTTAAGGATTTTAGGGGCTTTAGATGGGTCCAGGTTTCAGGGTTTGCGCATCTTCACGTTTCTAAAATAAGTTTATCATGGCTCATCCACCGTGTCGCCTGGAACCTATTAATTTTCACCTGCCCTTTGGCGCCATCATCACCTAAACCCCCCTTAGAACCATAATAAGACTACTATTTTTGAAAACTCTCTTGCGTTCTAAGGAGACAAAAGTCACCACCCTGAACTTTTGGTCCGACTTTACTAGGGAAGGGCTGCTGCAAACACTAAGCGTACGATCCACTTTACAAGAATCCTAAACAACTAGTGGTCCCTAAACCCTAAACCCTAACCCTAAACCCTAAACCGGTTCTGGTGGCAGTTGTGGTGGTCGTGGTGGTGGTGGTGGTGGTGGTGGTGGTGGTGGTGGTGGTCCTGGTGGTGGTGGCGGGGGCGGCGTAGGTATGTGTGGAATTTCCTCTCTGCGGTAGATTGCCCCGATAGCTTGAAACTTTCAAATAACGGAATCTTTCTCTAGCATATATGTGCATGTCTGCGCACATAGTCTTCACCTACACAGTCTTGAGTCGTTTCAGCATGACTGCCATCTGGCTATAGCGGCTAGAAGCTCAGTTGCTGAAGATCCAGAACTGTCTTGACCTGAAGCTGAAATATGCTGGGTTCTTGTTGAGGAAGTTCTTCAAGGTAAGGTACCAAAATTTAGAATCGGCATCTAGAATAAATCAGATGTTTTCTTCTTCTTTATTATGGTAAACTAAATAAAACCCTACAAACAAGAACCCAGCATGTATCCTGGATTGATCAAAAGGGGAAAAGGTGGGACCCGTAATGGGGACCCCTACCCTATAATGGGCTATAACAATGGGTATATAATAGCTATATTGAGGGTATACCCTATACCCTATACCCTAGGGGTCCTTATTAAGGATCCCTCCTCTTACCCTTGGAATTGAGACTTCCAGCTGCTGATGGGAACCTTTGATCCTGAGAAGCCCAGGTCTCGCCGGTTCAGACCGAAACCCCTATGGATACCCAGTAACCTAAGAATAAAAAGGCCTCTCTTTTTGGTATTGGGTAACTTGAAAAGGAACCAAGGACTACAAAAAGGGAATAAGGGTACTACTGGGCATCCTAGGTGGGTAGTTAGGGGTTTGGGTTTTAGG